AAGAGACTGGTTGAAATGGAGAAAGAAAATAATCTTTTGAAAACAAAGGTTAAAATGTACCAAAAAAAGATCAACAATCTTCAAACCCAAGTTGTTCAGGCAAAAAAGAAAATAATGAAAAGTCAGCTCGTTTCCACAATTCCCATGAAAGAAAATATATCTATATTTTCCAAAGCGCTGATTAATATGCAACTACGACACAAGAAAAGATCATCTTGGTTACCTTCAGAAAAAAGAACAGCTTTATCGATTTATTATAAAGGACCATCTACATATAAATATCTCAGAAGAAAAGGGGTAATTCTTCCAGCTATATCAACTTTAAAAAGCTGGATAAAAAATTTCATTTGTAGGCCTGGATTTAATAAAAAAATATTTTTTCAATTGCAATTAAAATGCGAAACCATGTCATCCAGTGAGAAAAAGTGTATAATTTTATTTGACGAAATGGCAATCAAGAGAAATTTAGAATACAACAAAAAACTGGATATTATTGAGGGTTTTCAAGATCTTGGGAAATTTGGAAGAAAGGAAGTACCTGCAAATCAAGCTCTTGGTATAATGTTACGAGGTATTTATTCTACCTGGAAAATGCCAATAGCATATTTTGTGACAGATGATGGTGTAAGTGCTAATGATTTAAACAAAATTTTGACATAGACATTTCAAAAATTAAAAAAAGCAGGATTTGATCCGATAGGTATGACTTGTGATCTTTCCACAAGAAATCAACAGTTATATGCTCACTTAGGAGTGTCGGTTGAAAAACCATATTTTTTTATTGATTTGCAAAAATATTTTGCATTCTTTGATCCTTGTCACTTATTAAAATGTGTTCGGAACAATATTATACGTAATGATTTTTTATTAGATGGCAAATTTATTAGATTTTCTGATATAAGAAAGGTTTACGAATTAGATAAACAAAGTACCACTGGTAAGGCTTTAATAAAATTAACAGATTCTCATCTGAATCCAAATTGTTTTCAAAAAATGAGCGTTAAATTAGCTGCACAGTTATTTAGTCATAGTGTATACTCTGCAATTAAAACTACATTGCGGACTGGTCAGCTTATTTCCATAACGGGTGAAAATACTGCATTTTTTGTAAAGACCATGGACGATTTATTTGACGCTTTAAACAGTACCAGAATTCATTCCAAAAAGCCATGCAATCGTGTGTTAAGTTTGGAGAATACAGAAGTACTAAAAGCACTTGATGTTGGTTATACAGTATTTGAAAATCTTCAAAAAATAAATTCGAACGGCATCTTATCTAGGCCTCCAAGCTTTGATGGCATTTTAAAAACAATAAATGCAGTCAAATTATTTGCTGCTCAAGAAAGACAACAGGGAAAAAAATTCTTATTTACTGGGCGCCTAAACCAAGATCCTCTAGAAAATCAGTTCTCAGTTTTCAGGCAAAAAGGAGGGTACAATCGTAACCCAACTGTACAATCATTTAGAGCTGCATTTAAGATAAATATTGTTACTAATTTAATTAGGCCACCTAAAGCCGCAAATGGTGGAGGAAATTTGGATACAGATGACCACATGTTAAACACTGCAATAGATAGCAATTTGACAACAACTCTAAATTTTTTTAACAAAGATGATGAGGAAGTGTCTTCCAATGAAAGCGAAAGGTCTGAGACATCTTCAAATTGCTCCTCTGTACCTGCAGCTTTTTCATTTAAATCTAAATCTACTTCTTCATCTTCTACTACATTAGAGCAGTGTTCTCTTGTATATTTTGCAGGCTATTTAGCTAAAAAGTGTATTGAAAAATACAAATGTCATCTTTGTAAAATAAGCCTGCAAAGTATAGAAGATTTAACAGATGAAGAAGAATTATTATTATTTTATAAAAATTACAATTTAAATTATAGTGTTAAAAATAGTTTAAAGACTCCATCAATTTTGATGAGGAAATATACATCAACGACAATGGAAACATACAATAAGTACATAAAAAAATATTGCACAAAAAAATTATTAGTAATATAACAATAAAAGTAAATAATAGACTTAAAGTAACTCTTCCAGAATGGTTCGAAGTACAAGAAGAATGTAAAGAACATCGAACGTATTTAATTAACTTACTTTTACGTACTCAAGTTTTTAAATATTGTAAAGACTTGTCAAGTAAGATGAAAACTAGGGTAGGAACTAAAAATGTAAAACTTAATATATTAAAACATAATTAAAAAACATAAATTTTTTTTAAACATATTTTGTTTTATTTTCCTTTTGATACTCAAAGATAGATATGAAATTCCTAAAGTGTAAGCTGGAGGGTAAAAGTAAGGTAAGTTCTAATCAAAGATCTAAAACAATGTCATAAAAAATATTTAAAATGTTTTAATAATTTAATGTTTATGGAACAGAAACGTTACAAATATTACTAGTTTTAGTTGAAATTATTTATAGTTTTTTATTTAGTCATTTTTTAAACATTATACCTCTCAAAAATTATTTTTTATAGGTACTTTAAAAGTATTGAAACCTCCACAAACATGTTACTTTATTAAATTTAAATTAGTTTTGTTTTTAACCTGTAGTCACTGAGGTGAACTTTCTGTCCGTAACTACTGAAAATTTAAAGGCTTTAACAAAGACAATAAAATAAATATTTAGAACTAAATGTTTACACATTTTTTTTTGTAAAAATTAAAATGGGACCACTATAAAAATAATGTTGGAATTTTCAAGCAAAGATTACGATAAAATAAAGGTTTGTGTGGAAAAATAAAAAGCCCCACTTATTACCTAAAAACCATAAAGAACACTACAAATGAATACTTTACAGTAAAAACTCTTATATTGTTTTAAATTAAAAATCTTTGAAAAAGAGGACTGATGAGTGTTTGTAATTTAATTACTAAACAAAAAGGTACTGAATGCTGCAAGAGTGATTAAAATTACAAGTGGAGGAAGCGATGCAGGGTCAGACGGAGTCTAGTAGACTCTACCTCAGTAGTTAAGGATTAAAAATTATTTTGATTTTACTTTAGTTATGTTTTTTATTTATGAAATAGAGATTGTGGTAAATCTTTGGTTATGTTTGTATATTATGGCATTTTGTTTTTTTTATGACTTGACACTCCTAAAAAAAGAAGAAGAAGAAGAGTAATTCACAAAATTATTTAATGGGGGTGCCACCTTACGGTATGTAATTTTGATGTTTCAAGAATATGTTATAAGATGGCGCTTGTGTACGGCATCCAACACATAAACCACAGGGATTGACTGACTATATCTTCATTAGACAATGGTTTAATTCTGTCGGATCACAACTATACAGTGTGTTCCATCTCAGACGAGCCACCCCGTATATTTCATATCCCATATGGTAATTGGAAAAATTTCCCGAAACACGTCTGATGATTTTCTTTGGGGGACATCTTTAGACGTATATTTGAGGCTTGAACGAGCAACCCCCTAAGGGAGCGCTTCAACCCCTCAAAATTGAATAGGGAAGAGGGGTTGGGTGAAGCTTCTTTACAACGGTGTATGAAAAAAATCACATTCTTAAAAAAAAAATTAATTTGTTTTATCATGTTTACGATCAAAAAAATCAAAACTGCGTTTTTAAATGAAATGATTGAAATGTTCAATTTGTCTTCCATTGACTTCCATGCAATAATAAATTCTCTCGAACTAATAAATAAAAAAAAATCAAAACATTTTCTTATCTTGCCTTCATTTTTTGTTCTCAGAAGGTGTTTATCACGTTTCTTCGATCATTTCATGTGATAAAACAATTAATTTTTTTTAAGAATGTGATTTTTTTCATACACCGTTGTAAAGAGGCTTTCAAGACCTTACAAATGATGTATCACTCAACCCTTCTTCCCTATTCTATTTTGAGGGGTTGAAGCGCCTCCTCATAGGGGGTTGCTGGTTCAAGCCTCAAATATACGTCAAAAGATGTCCCCAAAGAAAATCACCTGACGTGTTTCGGGAAATTTTTCCAATTAGGTACTATGGGATAAGAAATATACGGGGTGGCTCGTCTGAGATGGAACACACTGTATATAGTTGTGATCCGACAGAATTAAACACGTCCATAAATACTACAAAACGATTGGTTAAGGAAATCATTCAAAAAAGATGTAAGAATATTCTTGATTCAATGAAAGTATGAATACATAAACAACACTACAAAACATTTAAAAACAAATGTCCGATTTTGAGATAATATCTAAATTTCTCAAAAATATATTGGATGGAAGATGGCCATAGGTCGTGAAATGCAATACTGGTGCCATCTATCAACAGATAGTCACACTATCGAGTTGCACATATTACTTGTAGAGGCCAAAACTTGATTTTAAATTAACGCACTTTTCTCTCACGCTCATGGAGACACGATTATTACTCACGTTCAGGCCTCGCAACGAAATGGAGACAGGCGTAACAAAAAAGCTACAAAAAATGAGCCAGAAGGGTTATTCTACTAAATTTATAGCCCGGCTACAAGTTGGATTTTGGCTTGAACTTTATATGTTCCTAACTTCAAAATCCAACTTGTAGCCGGGCTATAAACTTTTAGCCGGGCTATAAATTTAGTAGAATAACCTTGCTGGTCCGAGCTGGTGCCGCTACAAATATCCGCTAAGCTAGCGGATCCGCGCTTTTCTCAGGTTCAGTACAAGCTACAAAAGGGAGACTAGCGTAACAAAAAAGCTACAAAAAAATTACGAAAACCAGCTGGGTCTGAATCTGTGCCGCTACTATGGAAATTCAAGCTAGCGGATCCGCTGTTTTTTCGGAACTGGGCAAAGCTACAAATTCGCAAATAGCGTAACAAAAAAGCTACAAAAAACCCACCAGATCTTGTATGGTGCCGCCACAGAGTACCCGCTAGCTTGATATAGCCTAAAATCGTATCATTTGTAATTCATTTTAGTTCTTGAAATGCTAACGTATTAGAGGCCAGATCGATAACGATAACCTTGACGTTGACGAGCGAGAGTGAGAAATCAGCTGTCAGTCTGTCACGTCAACTTGACATCAACAAAATATTTGGTCAAAATTACTCAAAATATAAATCCAAAGACATTGAAAGTGAAACATTTACTGAAAATTTTGCTAATTGTCAAAATCCTGCACTAAAATATATTTTTAAATATATCTACACATCAAATAAAACAAATAGTCACAAGAAATCATTGTTCAGTTGTCCAATGATGGAATAGAATATAATCTGTAGGAAGAATACTCCCATAAAAGTAAGGGGTTCATTCATTGAATTAGAAATCACATTATTACCACATTAACACCGACTCATTATATTTTCATTACGGAGAAATATATCTTAATTTAAATTACCTATTATACTAGTGTATGTAGAATATACCTACATATTGTGAAAGTGAAAATGTTTTGGGTTTTTAAAATGCGTAGATTACTATTTTCGATTGAAAATTAAACACTAAACCTTTTATATTATAATTTACATTATTTTACTGGTTTTCTTTATTTTAAAGATCATGTCTCAAAGACAAAGACTATTAACTTGTGTTGCACAGTGGATTCATCCCAAATATGATGAAAGTAACATTATAGCAGCAACATTTCACATGCTTACAATTACTTTAATTAGCATGTCCTTAGTGGATTTAACATGGTTTTTTATGAGTGGACATGTCTGTGTTCCATATCTCACCCTGGGAGAGTTCTTCTGGTTTGGATTTTCCAATGATGACATTGAATACACAGGTTAGTTATAAATAATAAGTGCAATGGTATACCTACTTAGTTTTGTTTTTTATTTTTACTACAAAAAATAGAATGTTTAATTTTGGTTTTATATTATTTTGTTTGTTAAACTATAATTTTCGCAATACCAATTTTTTAATGATTGCCCAAGAAGGTAGTAGCAAAGTAGGCAAACTTGTAGTTTGAGTGGGTACTAAAAGGTATGTAATGTGTTGCGAGACTTTTCATTTCAATTTGAGCTGTGTTAAGGCAGTTGGCATAGCCAGGTATGGGTTGACACTCAGGTTGATATTTTCTGGTATGTTGCCACCCTATGAGTAATTGTTGCTTTGTCTTCTTTGTCTGTCGGAACAAGTGGAAGCAGCAATAAGTACAGACATACGTTTTAGTACCAGCCCATACGACAAATCTACTGCAAAGTACTATAAATATATACTACAGTTTCTCTAAGGACATGTAAGGGCAGTTAACATGAAATTTTTTTTTCAAGCAAGAAAAACTAATAGGGCATGAGAGTTATGGGATATAAAATCTAAAGGTAAGGATAGTGATAATATGCTGTATTTATATCAGCTCAGTAAAGTTCTGTATGTTATCAACTTATCAAAAATCTGCTAGTTGATGCTGAGGGGTGTCTAGAGACAGCCCTCTTCTCAATTCATCAAAATCCTGCAGGTTATCAACTCATCAAAAACCTGATGGTTGTTTCTGGGGGTGTCTAAGGATAGCCATTCTTTCAAGTCAAAGTCCTGCAGGTTAATATCATTGCCGAGAGGTGTCTCTAGATGCCCCCTTTTTTTGAAGTGGCTATCTGGTGGGCTCCTACCACCCTGATGGTAAATGTCCAGGTGAAGTCATTCTTTCTGTCCGCTCCATAGGCCAACTGTTAATTCATAATAATTATTAGGATGTGCACAATATTGTGAATTAATTTAAAATATATATATACATCTTAGTAATTTAATTTTGCTTATTATTTATTTTCACATTGATGACTTAAGTTTAACAATAAACGTTTATATAGTCCAAAAACTATTATCTCAATTCCTTATGTTACACCCACAATTTTTAAAATTCAGAATCATTTTTATTTTTAACTAAGTGCTGATATTTTCCTTCATAAACAATTACTCTTATCTCTTTCCAGATAACATGACATTAAGTAAATATTTATAATATACAGAGTATTAATTTAAAAACTTCCCATTGGAACAATTTCTTAATAAAATAGAATATCAAAAATTGCTTGGGACAGGTAGATTTTTATTCCAAGAAGGACACCTTTCTATCATATTCTTAAATATATTCCCCTCCCCTCCGTCACACTAACCAATCAATTTAAATAGGGAAAGTGAAAAATATGACATATATCATTGAAAAGGTAAGTTAATGAGAAATTCTGTTCATTGTATTACATTTGATTTTAGCCCCTCCACTTGCATAAAAAACTTACGTATTCTAAAGTGTGACACATCATTTGAAAGCTAATTTTATTAGTAATTTAATAAACATAACAAAACATAACTTAAATAAGCATAAGCATAAAAATTCAAACTCTCCTAATGGGGGCATGTGTTCAGATTTGTACATAATTCACTGCCAGGATGAAAGTCTAATGTCTCTAGCAACACTAAAAATCCGCAAAAATCCGTTTTAGTTAGGCGGCAAAAAATAGAGCATGTTGTGTCGAATACCTGAATTTCGTTTTCAAAAGAAATTTGTTAAGGTAAAAAATACATTATGAAATAGATTATTGCTTTTCAAATAGTTAATATATGTGAATAAAATTTTGTGTAAGAAGGTGTTTTTGCATTCGAAAACACATGTTTTTGGAAATATTTAATTGTTTACTTGGATTCTAACATAAATTTTAAGTGTCAATAACTGGGTATGCATACTCATATTATTCTCCAGTGTTCAACACTTTTTTTCGATGACTGGTGTATCTAAAATTTCATTAAATCATCATAAAATGTTCTACTAGGGTCGATTGCAGGTGTTCTTACATTAATCAATTTAATCTTAATCGCAATCTATCAAAATAATAATAATAATAATACTTTATTAATCCTTTTAGATCATATACATGATATAAGATAAGTCATTTACATGTAAAGATGTATATTAGTATACATTTACAAAACAGATATAAAATTTAACTAACACATTTAAATATACAATTTAACAATAAATATACAAAATTAAAATTAGGACTGATATTATTGAAACGCCCATATGACATAGGCTGGCTGTATCTTGTACTAGAAAAACTACAGAAGAAATTAATGAATCCTAGAGGGGAATTTTTGTGATAAATAGCTTTTTAATTTGCATTTAAATGAGGTCAGACTGTTAATTTATTTTAGAGAGGTAGGCAGATGATTGAATAACCTTATTCCACAGTAGTTGAACTTTTTTCGAACGTGGTTGGAACAAGAGGGGGTATGTGTAGTAAATTGCCACTATGAGTACTATAATTATGGTTGTCTGAGTTATGGGTAAATTTGGAGATGTTTGTTTTAATGTATATAGAACATTGAGATATATTGCTGGAAAAGTCAGTATATTATATCTTTTAAAAATACCTTTACAGGCACTTCTAGCATCTAGGTTAAAAATTAATCTTATTTATTAGTCTTTTTTGACAAACAAAGACTCTTAACATACAGGTCGCATTTCCCCAAAGCAATATGTTGTAAGCTAAATGTGAATATGCCATCCCATAGTAAAATTGAAGAAGCTGTTTGGTGTGCAACATATTTTTTAATTGGAGAATTGCATAGTGCACACTATTTAATTTTTTACAAACAGAGTCAGTATTGGAACTCCAGCTCATATCTGCATCTATAAGAACTCCTAGGAATTTTGTTTTCATGGACAGTGGGATAAAATCATTATTTTTTTGTATTAAAAAATCTGTACTTATTCTTGATCTAGAATGGAACTGAATGAGTACTATTTTGTTGGAGTTAACAATTAATGCATTTCTTTTACACCATGCCTGAAATTATCTAGCAACAAGAGACAATTTGGAATGAAGTTCCTCAGGTGATTCTGCATCGACAGCAACATTGGTATCGTCTGCATATATTGAAATGTGACCAGATGAGGTGAAGTTAGGCGTCGTTTATGTAAAGGAGAAATATGAGTGGACCCAATACTGATCCCTGCGGAACACCGCGATCCATGTCCTTTACGTCTGATAAGCAACCATTGATTCTAACAGACATTTTACAAGAATCTATATAGGACTTAATCCATTGCAAAAAGTTACCCTTAAAACCTAAAGCACTTAGTTTTCCAATAATAATTGTCAAAAGCTTTAGATATATCAAAAAAGCGCTCCCACTAACCTTTTTCTATCGTGGTGATTGTGGACATAGTTAAAAAAGGCAGTAGTAGCACTTTCTGTTGACCTATCAGGAAGAAATCCATGTTGATTTGTAATAATTTTAAATTTTAATAAAAATGATAACATTTTTTTATATATACATTTTTCAAAAATTTTACAGACTATGATAGGTATATAATTTTTAAGAGCCGTTGAATCACCTTTTTTAAAAATAGGTGATACTATACCAGTTTTAAGTTCTTTGGGGACTATGCCATTTTTTACAGACATATTGATTAGATATGCAATTGGTTCTGCTATATAATGACCAATAGATTCAATTATTTTAGTTGTAATGCAATCTACACCCATTGCATTAGTATTTTTTTAAAAACTAATAACTGCAGTTACTTCTTGCGAATCTGTTCCATCATAGAAGAATGTATTTTTTACATGCATGGTTGTGTAGTTATGAAAATTTGTATTGTGAAAATTATCTCTAACAGTGTTATTAGTTATGGTTGAAAAATATTTAGCAAAACAAGTAGCTACAGTTTTTTTTTGTCAATATTAATATGTTGTCAACATTGATCTGTATTGGCTTTATAGATTTACTTTTTCCAGTTACATTCCGTATAATTTTTTGTTTTTGTTTTCTAACAATTTTTGATAATGATCCTTTTTAGTTACATTTATTAATTGAACATAATCTTTTTTTTAGATTTGTAACTTCTTAACAATTCTGAGCTGTCACACGTTTTAGTAAACTAATGCAAATTTTTAAGATCATTACCTGTATGTATAATGTTTTTGTTTACCCACTGCCTTGATGTATTGTGTTTAACCATTTTTGTTCGGACAAAGGGACAAGTTACATCAGTATGATAGGAAATGATTCTAAAGAATGTATCAAAAGCATCATCAGTACTGTCTAACTCAAACACTGGCGAAAAATCTTCATTATTTAGTTTTGCATTAAGATTTGCTAAATTTGTAAAAGAAAGATCTCTAAAAGTTACTATTTCATTGTTAATTTTGCTTTGCACATGGGATGTCTCCAAGCATAACATTCAGGCCAAAAAGTATACTAAAAAAGCTTCTTCTGTAAAATACCGATCCATACACTTATGGGGTATTAGAATTAGACCATCGATATAAGAATATGATAGAAAGGTGTCCTCCTTGGAATAAATATTTACCTGTTTATACTTGCATTCTTTTTTATTAGAAGATATTGCCAATGGGAAGTTTTTAAATTGTCACCTGTGTATTTTCACTACATACTTTTAATAAAAGCTCTGAAATATCTAATATTAAATTGAAATAACATTATTTAGTGGAAAATATATAAAACAAAGTGAGCAACTGATACAATTTGAGACTTTTAAAAGACTGAATCCTTGATTCAAAATAGCTATTGGAAAATATCACTTTTACCCATTTTTGATAAAGTACTGAAAAATTGTATCACTTAGAAATGAATTCTTTATTTACAAGAATGTAAATAACACTTTTCAAGTATATTCGTTTTTTTTATAGATATAATGATTTAAAAATTGACTAATGACTAGAAAATAACAAAACAATCAAAGGTTTTTGCTAATTTTGAGATTGAGAGATTATGTATATAATACCTTACTGTTAAATGTCAAATTAGGTGTTTCTTTATTTTAATGCCAAACCAATAGCAATTTTTAAAATTTGTCATAATCTATTAGCACACATGAATTTTGTTTTTCTCCATTTTTCAAAATTCCAATAATTTTTTGTTGTTGTAGATTTTGATTGCATTACTGCAAAAATTGTAAACATGATGAGAATTACAATATTGCTATGTTTCATGACAATATTATTTGCCCTTATGGGTTTCTTTTTGGAAATAATTGGTCCCAAACATCTCTTCTACAAAACTTTAAGAAAATACGCTATTATGGGCATATGCACAGGTATATTTAAGTAGTTCCCATTTTTATAACTGAAATTTATTTTGTCATTTTAATTTAATTTTTTTCAGTTATATGGATAATGGTGATAATTGGAATAACTTATTATATTATTTTATTGTTAGAACAGTCACTAGCTAAAGTTTATCCCAAAGTCGAAACTTCAGTTACCTATGGTATTGGATTTTACCTCATTGCAGCTGCTGGTAAGTTCGAATGATAGCAAAACAATTTACTCATCAATATATTCTAGGAGACGGACCCAAAAATTGGGATGTCTCCTAGATTATCCTGATGTTAATATTAGGTATTTAATAATTTATATATTTTTTTTTGTATTAATATAGTAAATTAATTCCAACACGTGAATTACTATGAATAACTAAATAATTTTAATGATAATTTTTATTAAATATTTACAAATATTTTTCACTTTACCTAAATGCAAATAAATGTACCTATAAACTTTTTTGTATTAAAAGATTCATCAAGGGAAATACATATTTCCTTAAACATTTTGTAATCTCAAAATTACAATGTCAAAGTTATGAAACAATTTTTCTTGAAAACCATCCTTTAAAAACGTGCTATATCTAGTACCTAGTACTTAAAATATATTATTTTAAGCAACTTATGATATATAGATATAAATAAAATATGTTTGGAATCAAAAACATGTTACTAATTATCATATTTTTTTATCATTGTTTTTAAAATGTAATTTATTCGTAGTATGTAATCATATTTATGACTTTGGTCTTAGTAATGTTAACAATTAAATTAACTATAAAAATATTGTTTATATTTTTTTATCAGTTATACAATCCTCTGTAGTCTATAGAGTAATTTAAAATAAAACAACATGCTGTACTCAATAACAAATAGTAAAAACATTTATTGTATAGGTTGTTTAAAAAAAATTGATAAATTTTATTTAGTACATTTCCAAGTAACACTCCACTACTGGCAAATAATGCTAGAGACAAGCATTAAATGCGGAATAAAAGCAGAGGTTTGGCATATTTTTAGCATTTATAATTCCTCATGTTGTGGCAAACATACTTAGAGCATTTATTAGGGTTTGTCAAATCGCTTTGACTGCTAAATAAGAGTCAATTATTAATGATTCCTAACAAGCCACAAATAGTCGTTAAATAGTAGAATTACTTTTTTAAATGCCAATTAAATTTAATTTATTGCAGACTTAAATTTCATCTAATGCTTTTTAAAAACTATGCTTAAAGTCGTATATTGTCAATAATCTGTATTTTAAAGGGCAATGGAATAAAAAAATGCCCTGATTCTTGCTAACCTCAGATCCTGTTGTGGCCTGATCGGTGTTCTGGAGAAAAATAGTGAGTTACTCAGTATAATTGCAAAATTAAAAAAATATAGACGGACGAGTGTAGGGCCTGATGGTCCCATGTTCAGTTTTCGTCTGCCACGCGCATAACGTCACTCACAGAGTGAAATTCATTTGCATGTCAAAATAAGGACCGCCCACGATGCGCAACATCCTATCTTTAGGTGGGTATATCGTGGGACGGACACGTAAATATAATCAGTTCAAGTAAGCATCAAAATAATCAAAAATTGGTTTTAAATAATATAATAATAATAATAATAATAATAATAATAATAATAATAACGTTTATTCAGTAAGCCAATGGTATAAAACATAACAGCATTATAATGTAGCGGATATCAAGAATATAATAATAATGAAAAAGGAAAATGAATAATACAATAGATACCTACCAAAATATGAACTTACTGAAAAGGACATATTCATCGTCAATCATACAAGATGAAAGAAGATGGTTTTCAATATATCCTGATGTAAAAAGCACAAAAAAAAAGAATTATAACAAAGATTATAATAATAAATCCCACAAAAAAGAGACAAACAAAATTATGAATTAAATAATAATAACTAATACCAATATCTATTTATAGTACCTATCTAACAATAATAATAATACTACAATAATTATTAATTGATGCGAAGCATCAATGAAAATATTTTTGATAAATCTTAAATTTTAAACGATACTTCCATGTCACCATTTAATATATAACATTTTATTTTACGCTTTAATGCACTTACAGATAAGTTTTTAAGTTCAGGAGGGAGAGAATTTATTGTTTTATAAAATATGTAAGTAAAAGAGCTTTCAAACATCTTAGTCTTGTGTTGCGGGATTGATACAAAATTTCTTCTACGGATATTAAGATTATGAACATCGCTTCTGAACCTTATCTTGTTATGTAAATATGACGGCGTTTTAAATAGTAAAATTTTTTGAAATAGGCAGCAGGAATGTAAAAAACGAGCTTGAGTTACTGTCAGCCATTTTAGTTCACTCCTTTTACGAGAAACCTGTTGATTTTTTTTTAATTTATAAATTAATCTAATGCAGGTATTTTGAATGCGCTGAAGACGCTGGTTATTGAATTGAGTAATGCATGGTCCATAGACTGAATCACAAAAGTTCAAGTGAGAAAATACAAGCGATTCACATAATAAGATTTTAGAACGATGATCCAGGGTGTCTTTATTGCCGTAAATCATTTTTATATTCGTTACACATTTTTTTTATTATATTATTAATGTGTTTTTCAAATCTAAGATCAGTATCAAGGAATACACCCAAGTTTTTTGCGATATGTGTATTAGGCAATATTTCATTGTTAACTTTAATTTTAAGTTGATCATTGTAATTAATTCTATCTTTTTTCCTGCCAAACAGCACAACATGAGATTTAGAGGGATTTATATCTAAGCAATAGTCATTAGATAATTTAAAAAGTAAATTTAAATCAGAATTTACTTTGGCTATGCTTTCTTCAAATTTACAAGCAGGGAATGAAAGGTAAATCTGAGTATCATCCGCATATTGGTGAAAATTGCAATACTTTAGTGAATCTGGGAATAAAGATGTATAGATGCAAAACAATAAAGGCCCCAAAATAGATCCTTGAGGGACTCCATTTTCTATTTCTAGTGAAGAAGATAATTTATCTTTATATTTAACATACTGCATTCTATTTTTAAGATAGTTATCTATAAGACATTTCGCATTTTCATTAAAACCTAGATGGTGTAATAGCCCTATTAGCATTGCATGATTTATTCTGTCAAACGCCTTGCTATAGTCTAATAATACTAAAACTTTAAGGTGATTTTGGTCAATAGCTCTAATAATATCGTCAATGACTGAGAGTAGGGCAGTGTTGCAACTGTGATTGGGGCGAAAACCAGATTGATTAATAGGAATAATATTATAATAATCTAGGAAGGTTTTTATTTGTTGATAAATAACTTTTTTCATAACTTTAGAAGCTGTGCAAAGAATACTTATAGGCCTGATGTCTTTAAATTCATTTGGATTTTTTATTTTGGCCAATGGAATTACTTGCGCAACTTTCCATTGTGATGGAAAAATTGCGGTACTGATAGAACTGTTAATGATGTGAGTTAAATATTTTATTACAAACGGACAGCAGTAAAGTAACATGTCCAGTCCAATGTCATCAGCACCAATAGCTTTAGATTTTATTATAACCTCACAAACATTACAAGTTTCCAAAGGGCACTTTTGTTAGCTAAATTATGTTCACTGCCAGTGAGTGCTTATAATATGATCTTATTTGACGCCCAATGACAAACATGGCTGACCATTTATTTATTCACGACTTTACCAGCGTTGCCAAAGCGTATGAAATTAATTGGATTCCAACAACAATTTAGATAAATTTAATCATATTTAGTACGTAATGACAGGTCAGCAATTTTATTTTTGAGATATGAAGTTTGCAGCGAAATTACGGATTGCCTAATTTAATGACTTATGGAAATTATGAACTCAGTATTCCTGAATAAATTGCAAAAGCTTTTGCATCTCAGTTCCAAACGTGCTACTCTAAAGATGACAAACCGAAAAATGTATCTTCCCGCTGTGCCATTTTATTCCACTTTAGCCATCTACATTTTCTCTTTGTGAAGTATCTTTTAAAATGAAGTCTTGGCTCCAGAAAAATCGCGGGCACTGATGGGGTACCACCGTTGTTCTTAAAAGGCGAATCTTTATCAATTCCACTTAGCCAAATTTTCCAAAAATCGTTTGATAGTGGAATATTTTCCTGTTTGGGAGTTTTCCCACCTTATGCCAGTTTATAAGAAAGATGATATAAGCAACATAAAGAGGTATTTCCATTATATCCATAATCCATAATTCCAAAACTATTTGTATTGATACAGATGAAATGTTTTATTCGTTTAAAAACTATATCTCACCTTAACGTGGCTTTTATTAAGGTCGCACAACAGCAACTAATCTGGCAATCTATAAAGACTTCCTAATTTCATCAATTGAAAATGCTTATCAAGTTGACACCATCTACACTGATCTGTCAGTAGATTTTGGGTGTCTGTGAATTGCTACTCAAAAAACTCTCCGAAATCGGTATCTCTGAATCTTTCTTTACTGAACTGAATCTTATTTGAGTAATAGGTGTCAACATGTCATAATGCATAATTCCATATCATGTGACGTTTTAGTACTGTCCAGTGTTCCTTAAGGTTCACATATTGGTCCTCTATTGTTTTCCTTACTATTTAATGATGTTACGTCCTGCTTTCTTAATAGCCAATTCTTTCTTTTCGCAGATAATTTAAAAAAATTTAGGTAATAACTCCGCCTTCTTATAGTCTGAACTAAATAGGTTTGTTACCTGGTCTAAGAACAATGCTCTTTCTATAAATGTTTCTAAGTATACGACCATGCATTTTACAAGATCCCATAATCCTACTCTTAATTGTTACAGTATTCACAGCGTCGACCTAGATAATTCCTTGACAGTTATTGATCTGGCCATTTTCTTTTTGATACCATAATACTTTTAAGAACCACATAGATTCCATAGTATGCAAAGTCCTCATAATGCTTGGCTTCGTCAAGAGACATACTAGAATACAATATGTTATTTGCAACCTACTTACACCTGTCATATCAATAGAATTGAAAGGATGCGACGTAAATTCGTAAACAACCTGCTCTTTAAACACCGATTTCATAGTCACAACACATGTTATCAAACAAGATTATTGATTTGTGGCATGCAGAGCCTGGAATGCAGGAGAAAACAGGCTTTACTCCCATTCCTGGCAAAATAATAGGCGGTTCTATGATGTGCAGATTACTACTTGAAATAGTTCAACTATTGGTTCCTGCCCGATGGATTCGGCACACATCACATGAATCAATACGTTTGTAAAAATTGCAATACAAAATTTTGTGTTTAATCAGCTATTGTTTATTGAAAAATCTATAAATTAATTCTGACAGTTAATAATAAAATAATTTAATTTATAAATCATGTTTTTTTGGTAAATAAACAATGGCTCGTTTATAACAACAAAGAAAAACTGCCAGACTAATCCATTCATTCATAATTATTAAGCTTTTATTTATTGAAATCAGTCAGATTGTGTTTTATATTACGCAGGCAGAGCTGTCGCATCGACTGTCGCATTAGAAAGAACGCTGATTAGAATGGGGATGGTTCATGCGAGCATGCATTTTATGATTGAATCAGTACTTACGGCTATGACACTTGCTGTATACTGCTGTCACACTTCAAAATTAATTGCATATGTTTCTGGAAATCATCTATGATAGTTGCATCGAGAAAAATACATTAAACTGATAATAATAACTGGCATTAAGAAAGCAAATATACGCCATTAATGTAATTTTGAAAGCCTTTTGTGTTTTAGACCCTTATGTTAAGTCAATGCCGAATTATAACCATAAACAATCCTTGTAATAAAATTGGATAACACTGTGAATGTTTCCAATTCGATTTTTGTAAACAAAATTAGTCTAGTAGTGGTTTGTTTTAATAACTATGATTCTACGCCGTTTATAACATATAAGAAACTTCCACATAGTTTATATTTTTATATTTCAGGTGCTGTAACTTGTTGTGGAATAATCTACGCCCTCGTTCTTCCATTTCACACCGCCCGTTACCTACGTGATGATGACAGATGCCTTCTAGATGCATTTGACGACGGTCTTGACACTTTCCACCATCCCATACCACCACCGCCTTATTACATTCCTCCACCACCATATACTCCTTGATCATCATTCCGAATATTTAATTGTTGAGGTAAGGTTTCTAATCAATCTGTCAAATGTCAGTGAATTCATGAGTTAACTATCTTCAAATATTAGACAGTTTATATCATCTTGTTCTTCTCTTGCGTTGGTTAATATAATTCCAATAGATCAAAGAAAATGATAATTAATATATATTTTGTTAACACATTGCGTGCCATGTGACATTTCTGCAGAGGCCACGTTTCTATTCAATTCAAATACGAAGGATGCCACAGTGTATTTTAAATGGAGATTCTCAACTGTGGCCTCTGCCGAACGTATTACAATGGAAAGATAAAAATTTGCTGGTGGAAGGTACACAAATTGTGTTATCTTTTTATTTCTCATTTATTATTAATAGGGATGGACAAAATAATCTGTTCATCGATTAGTCAATTTTTTATTATTGATTATTTTCGATTAATCGAAATAATCCGATTGTTTTTTATTAATCGATTATTCAAAATAATCGATTATCGATTATTTTCGATTAATCAATTATAAATGAAACACCCAATAACACTAGCTTGCTTTTGAAATATAATAATTATAGTGTAAAATGTTAAAACGTAATAACCTGTTTTTAAATCTGTTTTTTATTTGGGTTTGAACTAGTGTAGTTAATTATTATCTAGGGGTTGGCAAAATAATCGATTATTTTCTATTAATCGATTTATTTGCATTAATCGAAAATAATCGGTAATCCATTATTTATTTTGATAATCGCCCAGCCCTTATTATGAACATATAACACTTATTACTACACAAAAAATAAGATGAAAGTTACTTAACACACATCTCGAAGTAGGTATAAACCATTTTAGCCCGATTTTTGGCTTCTTTATGGCCATCTTGGTTCTGCATTTTTGGGTTACATATAGAAAACTTCTTCCGGATTTTTTTTTTTTCATTGATATCCTCCGTGCTAAATGCTGGTACGTAGATGCAGATGCTTTCGGGAGTTTTGGGCTTCACTTGCTTCTTGATAAGTAATTCGGCTACTAAATTATTATCCCTGAATGTACGGATTTAAATTTTCTTTTGAGTTACCTATTATTATGTAAACAACTCCTAAAAGTAGTTCTATTCTGAGCTTCCTATACCACTTTATGTCCTTCCTTAGAGTAACATATGAAGCCATCTTGTCAGACAAATCATTTTCAGCTTTTCTTTTATTGTAAGCCAGAATCCTCAATGGTTTCTACCTCTTGCTAATATATCTTGGATCGCTTCAGTGTTTTGTCTCTTATTTTGTGTGAAAGGATCTCTTCTACTTATAGAAGCTTGAAGCGTATTATTTTCTGGAAAAATATTTATTTACATGACGGATTTGGGACTTTAATCTCCCTTAAAGTAGCACCTCAGCTCACTGTTCCTTCGAATATCTCAAAAACACTTGGAAGACTTCTTTTAGAAAGGTGTTTAACTCCACCGTCACGTTCTGCATTCTCTTCTCTACTCTTAAAACGGGATCCTTTCAATGGTGTCTTTAATTTCGGAAACTACCAGAAATCGCAAGGAGAGTAGAGAGTTTGGCGAACGACTGGAATTTTATGTTTTGTCAAAAAAGTCTATATCAGGTGCGATGAATGAGACGGAGCATTGTCATGATGTTTTTCGCCGTCCAGCGGACTGATCTTTTGCGCCGAACTGCATCATACAGTTGGCAGATAACTTTTTGACAGTTCTCTTTTGCTACTGTTTGTCCTTCTAGAATCTAGAGCATATTCGTGATGCACAATTCCTCGGGTATCAAAAAATCGCTGTAGCATCACCTTGATTTTACTTTTCACTTGTTGCGCTTTTTTCGGCCTTGGAGACCCGGGACGCTTCGATTGCGGCGACTGTGCTCTTGTTTCCGGGTCTTCTTCCACTGTGCACAGTAGTGCCGGCCTAGCATTGCTACTATGCATAGAAAAATTCAAGGCCAGATGTTTTTTAGACAGACTTCATAAATGTGAACATACTTTCCAGAATGTTTGCATTGCTCAGATAAACCCATAGATGAAGCAAAGCCTAAAGAGTTTTATACCATACTTATGAGCTGTAATGTATTAATTAAATTTTAATCTCATCTATACGTCTTCATCAGGATAAAGAAGTGATTGAAATTTATTTTGCAGTATGACAATCAAAAGTTGCATGTTTTCCTAGATGTTTGCCTCCTTGAATTATCTTGTTGTGAAATAGGCTTAGTAACAACTGATATGTTACGTCACATGATTTATTTAGGAATATCTAGATGATATATTGTCCAATTATCATGTTATATAATTTCTTCTGGATAATTATAGGGTCCCATTTTTTTATTCTAGACTATTTATTTGCATCTTTAGATTTGCGAATCTGTTGGTTTTCATAACAAAAGATCAATAACCTTGACAAGATGGTCCAGCAAAAAGGAAGTATTGACGTCTTCCAATATATTCCCTTCAAACAACTGAACCTGGTATTTATATCTCTTTGATTTTGATTTTCATCTTCCATGGTTGAATCTTGAAGAACGGCCTTAATGTTTTCGTATGGCTCTACCTCTTCATCAGATGACTCAATTGCAATTGAGTCAGCTGTGTTGTTTAGGGTAAAATGGAGATCCCTTAACGACTCATCGGGATCCAAATCTGATGGATCATCTTTATCATTTTCCAGGTCAATTTCAGGTGCTATTTTCTCCAGTTCTGACTGGTTAAAAATCGACGTTTCCCAAAACTGGTAATTTAAGTTTCAATAAACGAGAAAACAAAGCAAAAAATACATATTTGAAATACATGGCCTTGAGCAGAAAAAATTCATATTTTCTCCACATCCATGTCTTTCAAATATAATAACAAAAAGAAAAAGATTAAAACACAAAAAAGGGCTAAGCATAGTTTATTTCAGTACAAAATACGTACAAATAATGTAAAATAATAGCTTTCAGCGTTAATTATCTGATAACACCGTGGCATGCAATGTGTTAAATTGTCAAATAGTTCGTTTTCATTTATGTTATACGTAAAAAATTATAAAACCAATACAATTTTTCCTATAAGTATTTTAAAAATTGAATCTTATATTTTATTTATATTAATATTATGCTCATTGATATATGACAGAACGGTTAGACACGTTAAGCCTGTCAGATTTTAGTCTTCAGGAACTTCAACCATGAGTACCAAAGTTTAGTGTCTAGATTTAGTTGTAAACACAGTAGATAATGGCTTTCTGACAAATTTTTGCTTAATTTTTTACTCTATCTACTGTTCTTTAATATTTTGTTCTTGTTTTAAGGAATATGACCAATTTTTATAATATGACAATTTTTAGTTATGATTTACTGAATGTTATTGATTTTAAGACTATTTCATTTAGTTTTTCTCTGAATAACCGAAAATTATTTATTTTTTCATGTTTTTTTTTTATGAGTAGAAAGTCTTAATTTTAGATTTCTTGTGTAGAATAATTTAAAAATTTTTATTTGAAAAAACCCGTCTACAGTTTAATTTATTGTCAAAAATGTAGTTTAACTATTGAGACAATAGTACCAATCATTTATGTGGTTATATTTTGAAATGCCTTATTTATTTTAAATTTTACATACCTCTTAATCCATTCAATGTCCATGATGCACTTGTACGTCATGCTTATAATATGAAGTCGAAGAAAACCTTAAAGACGTCGCGAAAATTATTTTCATCGCGTGTACAACTAAGTCCTAAATCAGGGATGTGTTAAGGTATGTTCGCTAGCAAAGTGAACTTTGACAAAAAATGTATTTCTTTTAAACAAAGTATGGCAATAAAAAAAAACACGTGAAACTAACCTTATAGATATGAAGAACTGGTTCATCTGTAGGCGAACTTATTAAATTGGATAAAGATGCACCTTGGTCGAATATAAAACCATTATCAATAAGTAACTAAGATGCATGGGCAGAGATCGGAGGAATACTTTTAATGCAGTATTATTTTATTTTCAATCTCATTTCAAAATTATGTTCTACTCTTACATTTTCTTTCCAATCATTCTCACTACTAGTTTCTCCCAAATTTATGATTATGAGATTGATGTTAATATCCATTTGCCTCATTTCCGTTCTACTTTTTTTTGTGACATGTTGCCTATTTTGTGGCGCCTGTGCCATCAATAGCTTCTTGAATGAGCTGATTGACGTCTGCCAGTTTAAAAGTGCTATTTTTTTTCCTAGCAACAGTTTCCTTTGAGTCAGCCCAAATTACTTCAATGCGATTGAGCTCACAATTATACGGGGCCAGTCTAAGTATTTCCACATTGCGATCTTGTGTCATATTACCTACATAATATTTTTGTGTTGTTTTGTCAGTAGTAATAGTAACTCAGCTTTGATGAAGGAATACCAAATATTTTTTTCACAAAGCCAATTCTTTATCTGTATGCTAATCAATTGTGAGCAACTGTTCCAATCTTCGGCTATGATATTACTGGCAAAATATTGTTGCTGAACCAATCCTCAAAAACTTCCTCATTATAATCGTCTGTTTTTTGAATTCAGAAAGCTAAAGTCATCATTTACAAATCGACTACTACTTCCTGTGTGTAATATTATTAATCGGCGTTCTTTTCCTGCAATTATTTTCAATTCTGAAGGCAATCCTTCCATGAAAACTTGGCGTCTTCATGCTTACACATTATTTTAACGTTTTATCCTGCCAAACTTTGGAAACTACTACTACAATCTTCATTTACATTATTACAGTTATTATTTACAACTAATACCATGGTTTATTACAAAAGTTTCCTTTTGTGACCACCTATTGGAGCAATGGCTGATCTGTTGTCTGAACAATGAGTTGTTTTATATGAGAGTTTAGATTTCTATCTCCTTATCTTTTAAATATATTATGGATCTTATTCTTGTTTTATGAAGTACGGTAATCAATAACTTTAAAAACTATGTGCGCTTAATCTATCTAGGTCTCGTCTAAATCATAGATTTCCATTTTTGTTCGCGTGCTTTTCTAATCGACCGTATGTAATTTCTACGCCAGCATATTATCTTATCGTTCTATG